GTGGGGGGAGAAAAGTCTCGAACTCCGGCGAAATGAGATTAGACAAAATTAGGGTAACGTGTATGAAAAAATGTCAAACGTAACAATAACCTAATTTGACTCATTTGAAATATTTTCATAAACAACCCCTATACTTTTGATAGTTTTACGTTTTTGATACCACACATTATTTTTTTGCTATAATTTGTTCTATTCGAATTAGTATTTAAATAGTTTAGATTTTAAAATAAATATATATAATTTATTTTAAACTCCAATTTTTTTTATTCTCTATTTCATATGTCAAGTTATTACCTTAATCATATGCATTCAATGTTCTATGTATTTTGTATTGTTGAAAGTTCAAAAAACAAATATATTTTATATTTTGAGTGGGGACAGATATATTTCTATTTTGGATAGCATACAGTTAAAACTTCTATTTTGGTACCTGAAATGTAAAGTTTTAATCGTTTAGGTATTCATATAATCGGTTGAAGAATTAATCGATTACCATACTGATGTGAGGAGTGATGTGGTATTCAACTCAATTTATTCGCTATGCATTCCAATTTCATCTCATCACTCGGTACATCAGCATGAAAAACAGTTAATACTTCAACCGGTTACTCGGGTACTTAAATGTTACTTTATATCTTAGGTACCAAAATGAAAGTTTTGAAAGTATGTTACTCAAAAATATGAATTAAGTTAAAGTGCGTTATTTTTTTCATGTAATTTGCTCTTTGAGTGGTTAAGTTTTTAAATATATTTTTTAAATAAATAAATACTAAAATTTACTGAAATCAAATAAATATATTTTTAAACATATTGAAATCGAACAAATAAATCTTTAAATCTACAAATGTTTAAATATATAAAAAACACCAACAAACTTTTATTTTCGGTCACTAACGGGCCGTTCACCAAACACTTAATTACCCGGGTAAGCGTTTACCAAATCATGTTACCTCATCTAATGAATACGGTAGGGATCAAGAATCTTACCCGATAATAGTGAAACAAGGACCATGAATCTTACCCGGTAAATAAGGGCGACGACTTTTACCACGGTAAGCGCTTACCGGGTAAATTATTACATACAAGATGTCGTTTTGGTGGACTAAATTTTTACTCGGTAAGTAAATAATAGTGTTAAATTTACCTGGTAAGCGGTTACCTTGGTAAGAATCGTCACCCTCCCTTACCGAATAAGACTCTTCATCTTTATCCTTGTTTTTACCGGGTAAGATTTTTGACCCTTGTCATGTCCATCCGGTAAAAAAAATTACCCAATAAACACTTACCGGGTAAGCGTTCAATAAACGGGCCCTTAATAATCAAAACATGAGAACATAATTTTATGTAGTTTGAATAATAACTCGAACTTTTTGTATTTCTATTTATTTCACACTTCAAGTGATTACATTAATCATTTGTACTCAATTTTGTACATATTTTGTTTTGTTGAAATCTAAAAAGTATCAATGTTAACCACAAGGGTGGTGCATGATTGGTTTGAGCTTGATTCCAATGGTCAAAAGTATCTGGAGGTCCCAAGTTCAAATCCAAGAAGAAAAAAAAATCCTCTTATAGCCACGGAGGTTCAAATACGTGACTTTGGGCTATCTGCAAAGTAAGTGGTTGCTCTGGGATTAGTTGGCTTGCATAGCGGGTTGGATATCCCGGTTAATCAAAAAAAAGTATCAATGTTAAATATGGATCAAAATTGAAAATATTAGATATATAGAGGACGAAAATGAAATTAGAGTGAATTCAAGGGAGTTAAGTGTAAGATAATAAACTATGCTTGATATATATCTCCAATTCTGACTAGAATAGGTTTGTCACGTCCAGCTAAGCACATTACACGTGGCAATTACTTATTAATTTACTTATTATTATATTTAAAAACTATGAAAAACCGAAAATAGCGATAATGGATTATTTTCTTTTACTGGGTTCGTCTTATATATCGTTTTTGGACAACCTTCTCAACAACCAGAAAGAACAATGAAACAAATACAGGTTTTACGCTTCTAAACATAACCACAAGAATGATGTCTGATTGGTTTGAGCTTGGCTCCAAAGGTCAAAAGTACCTGGAGGTCACAGGTTCAAATTCAAGAAGAAATAAAAATTTTCTTGTAACCACGGAGATTCAAATGCGGTGACTTCGGGCTATTTGCAAAGCAGGTGGTCGCTCTGAGATTAGTCAGCTCGCATAGCGAGTTGGTATCCATGTTAATAAAAAAAATGCATAAATGGCTCACAAATTAACGATATATAAAGTGTCGGGATAGTAATATAAAAAATAACTAGCAATGCATATAATGAGGTTAAATGGCCTTACAACCATACACGTTATCCAAATGAAACCCTAGTTGATGTATCAGTATTATATTCAAACAAGTGGTAATTTTCAACTATCTGAAGATTACAAACGACTAATGTAAGCAACTAACCGTTACTACTTCAAATTTGGAGATAACGTACGTTAGTAACGTCACATGCACAAAGTGGCATACATAGGTCAAAATGAATTTTTTGGATAGCCATTTTTTTATTAACCTGGATATTCAACCTACTATGCGAGCCGACTAATCGCAGAACGACTATCTGCTTTGCAGATAGCCCGGAGTCACCGTATTTGAACTTCCGTGGCCATAAGAAATCGATGTTCATAACCACCAAAAATAATTTATAATCACCAAAGAGCCTTTGACCAAACAGTATGTGAGTTTTTAAGCTTGTAAGAGATCAGAGGTTCAGACATCACAAATATATGAAAATGATATATGAATTTATTTATTTTATTTATCGTATATAAATATTATATATTAAAAAAGTTATAAAAAATTTACAGTCATTGTTTATAACAAAAAAATATTAATAATTTTATTTGACGTGAGATTATATGCATAATTAGAAGGTTACGCGTTTGACCGGATATTATGGTCAACGTAACAAGCCGCAAAAATATAAAAAATATAAAACACGTGAGGCTCATTATAGGTTTTTGTTTGGCCCTTGCATTTTGGTTTAAATCAAAACTGGTCCCTGTAACATATTTCAATTTTAAAAATACAATGTGTTTCTTCCCTTTCCATAAAAATAACGTTTTTTTTTAAGTTAAATAAATTATTCTTCTAAATATAATTTAAGTATTAATTAGGTTCTACTGATAATGAAAGTTATGGTAAAAAAAAGATAAAAGTGATATTTACCTTGTATCAATCATAACTGAAGATCAATAGTAATGAGATGCATTGAACCTTATAGCAAAACATTGTGAAGGTTAATTTCACAGCGTTTTACCGTAAATTTCAAGTGTAAAAAAATGATCTTACGAGTATCATGAAAATAATATGATTTTATATGATCCCAAGTCAACAAAAGAATATACCTTTATGTAACTATTCGAAACAAATTGATAACATGATTCCAAGGATTGAAAATATTTATAAAAAAAAAATTAACGACTTTTAAATGATTCGAATTGTTTCTCATGAATTCAAAGGCGTAATATCTCGTGTTCGTATCTTGTTGTTATCATTCTTTTAAGGGGGTTTACATAAAATTCCGTTAACAAAAATTATGTACATCCGCCCCTCTCTCTCTATATATAGGGGCGGATGTAGCATACAAATGGCAGGGATTGGCTCCTTTTAAAAAATTCTCAACTAAAATTCAATTTTTATGTTACAACAGACAATATCAACAGTAACACGATCGAGCCTCTGTTTATCAGTGAGTAGATTCGTTTTCACTTTATAATGGACGAATCTACTCACTGATAAGCTAAAACCTGATCATGTTAGTATTGGTATTTTCTGTTATAACATAAAATTGAATCTTATTAATTTTATATTTTGATAATTATTCGTATCATTGACAGGGAAAAAAAAATTTGGAATTCCCCAGATATATAATCAATTAAAAATCAGTTATCGAGGGACCTATGAATGTCCGAGTTGCAAGTAGGGTTTCTATAGTTATGAAAGGTACAAGTTGTTAATCTCTGAGATATACTCCAAAATATTAGAAATTACAGTAACCTCAACCAAAAAACCCGAAAATTTACTTCGAAACCAACCAAAAAATAAGAAAATCTTTCAAAATCAACTAAAAAACCGGGAAAAAAATTCCTCGAAATCAAACAAAAAACTTAAAGATATATTAAACGTTAGGGAATTCAAATAAAACACATTAAACGACTTTATGAATCATTAATCCATACTTTATTTTTAATCATTTGAGATTATCATATACATAATATATTTTATTTTTATTCAAAATAAATTTAATCAGTAATCCTTCTTAAATCCCTTTTTATATTTTTTAGTTTGGAAAATCACTGACAAAATATTTTTTATTTGTAATTAAAATAAATTTCATCAATAATCTTTTTTTAAATGTAAGTAATTTTTTTGGTATATTTGTTTCGTTTTATAGATGTAAGTACTTTTTTTGGTTCAAAATGGAATCTGAAAAAAACCAATGTAATTTTTCAGATTTTTTTTCATTATTTTACCACATTAACCAGTTTTATAGATCATAAATGATGTATATAACAGATTTTAGAAAATCCAAGAATTTATTTAACATGTTTTGAAATGTCCAAAAATTTGTTTGTTTCAAAAAATTGTCTAATGACTTAATCACTCCAAATCCTAAACTTCATTGTTTTTTTTTTTTTTTTTTGATATTTTTTAAAAAAAAATACATAAATCTATGGTTATATTTGCAGATAAAAATATTAATATTTGTTGAATAATAAATTATAATTAAAAGGTTACGCGTTTGACCGTTTGATGGTCAAACGTAACAACCGACTTGAAG